GCTAATAAACAAAGCAAGAGTCAGCGCATTATGAATTATTATACTATTTACATTATCATGTGAAAGCATATGCATTATTGGGTATAATAGCAGAATGAGCTCAACAGCGTGCTGTTCAGTATTTTATGTAATCAGCAGGAGACCAGCTCATGAAATACCCATCGTCTGTCTTAATGACAGCCATTCTCCCTAGTGACCATTATCACCTCTCCATCACGGTTGACAACTCCACAGTGTTGCCCTCCCTGAGTGCAAAACACCTTGCCGTGCCGCTGGACAACACCCTGTCGTTCTCTGCAAACATCAAAGCAGTGACTCGCTCCTGCAGGTTCATGCTCTAGAACATCCGTAGAGTATGACCCTACCTCACACAGGAAGCGGCGCAGGTCCTAATCCAGGCACTTGTCTTTTCCCGTCTGGACTCCCACAACTCGCTGTTGGCTGGGCACCCCACTTGTGCCATCAAACCCCTAGAAGTTATCCAGAACGCTGTAGCCCGCCTGGTTTTTAACCTTCCCAAGTTTTTAACCACCCCGCTCCTCTGCACACTCCACTTATTGTTTTCTTTAAGCAATGGCTTTTTTCTGGCCACTCTTCCGTAAAACCCAGCTCTGTGGCATCTCTTTGTTGCCTCTCTGATTAATGCCCTCCTTGCCTGGTCCGTGAGTTATGGTGGGCGGCCCTCTCTTGGCAGGTTTGTTGTGGTGCCATAGTCTTTCCATTTTTTAATAATGGATTTAATGGTGCTCCGTGGGATGTTCATTTTTTTATAACCCAACCCTGATCTGTACTTCTCCACAACTTTGTCCCTGACCTGTTTGGAGAGCTCCTTGGTCTTCATGGTGCCGCTTGCTTGGTGGTGCCCCTTGCTTAGTGGTGTTGCAGACTCTGGGGCCTTTCAGAACAGCTGTATATATGCTGAGATCATGTGACACTTAAATAAAGTCCACCTGTGTGCAATCTAACTAATTATGTGACTTTTGAAGGTAATTGGTTGCACCAGATCTTATTTAGGGGCTTCATAGCAAAGGGGGTGAATACATATACACGCACCACTTTTACGTTATTTATTTATTGGAATTTGGACTATTTTGTGTATGTCCATTACATGAAATCCAAATAAAAATCAATTTAAATTACAGGTTGTAATGCAACAAAATAGGAAAAACACCAAGGGGGATGAATACTTTTGCAAGGCACTGTATGTGGTTGTCCCACCTAGCTACTGTATCTTAAGATGAATGCACTAACTAAGTTGCTCTGGATAAGAGTGTCTGCTAAATGACTAATGTCAATTTAAAATCACAGATACCCTACATAAACATGCATGAGCACAAATTAACAACTGCAGCACAAACACACACTACTCAGACCCACTTACACGGATGCCTGCGCACATATACACACGTATGGCACGTGTACATTCAGACACACACACACAAGAACACACAGAGATAACGTAAAAGCTGCCTCTGTGTGATGAAATAATCATTGAAGCAATTTCTTCTAAGAGAATGAACAATCAGCCCTAGTTTCATTCATGTCACTGCTCTTCTCTGTTCTTCCCTTACCCCATCCATTCCATACAGATGAAATATTTACTAACAGAGGGCTTTCAAAGACGGAACTACTTCTTCAGGGGGCCCAAGTCCAACCTAAAGCCCATCCCCAAGAACAGAGAAACATCATTCTCAGTAATCTGTCGCCTAGGCCTATAATTGTACATAATAATCATTCCCCTCACCAGTTTCACAGACCTAAGACTGTGAAAGGGACCGAGATCTCATTACTGCTCTGTGTGATAGCACTGCATCTCAAATACCCACCGGGCATCATTACCCAACATGTCACAATTCTGAAGACACTTCTGAGACAACATTGATTTAACGCAGCCGTAATGAACCCTTGTACTGTACGTGTCTCATAAAGAGTCTAGTGACAGCAGCAGAAAGACTTGAATGACAAAGAAATGGGGGCAATGGAGGAAGGGGAGAACAGAGAGTAAATAGGAGTCACACTTTATTTGGATAGTCCGGATTGTCCATCTGTAGACGCTCTACTGATGGTCATACTATCAACAAACTATTTGTTGATAAGCAACTGCTTGTTAAGGTTACGGTTAGTGTTAGGTTTAGAATAAGGGTAAGGTTAGAGTTAGGGTTAGTAGATAGTTAGTTGAAATGTTATGTGTGTGTGTGCTCGACAAAAGGAGCATTAGAGCTGGGACGATACACCGAAAATTAACGATACCGACATTGCCTTCCTCTTACCAAAGCATTTTGCTGTACATTTGTCTGTAATTTTCTGTGACTTTGTGTGAAAGACAGTTTTCAAAGTAACTACTGTTATTCTAGTTGCAGAGAGGAGAGTCACAGCTTTCTGTGAGTACATGTATTTAATGTATTTCTCACCTAAAGTATTCAGACCCCTTGACCTTTTCCACATTTTGTTACGTTACAGCCTTATTCTAAAATGGATTAAATAAATACAAATCCTCATCAATCTACACACACTACCCCATAATGACAAAGCGAAAACAGGTTTATAGACAAAACAGAAATACCTTATTTACCTAAGTATTCAGAACCTTTGCTATGGAGACTCGAAATTGAGCTCAGGTGCATCCTGTTTCCATTGATCATCCTTGAGAAGTTTCTACAACTTGATTGGAGTCCACCTGTGGTAAATTCAATTGATTGGACATGATTAGGAAATGCACACTTGTCTACATAAGGTCCCACAGTTAACAGTGCATGTCAGAGCAAAAACCAAGCCATGAGGTCAAAGGAATTGTCTGTAGAGCTCCGAGACAGGTTTGTGTCGAGGCAGATCTGGGGAAGGGTACCATAAAATGTTTGCAGCATTGAATGTCACCAAGAACACAGTGGTCTCCATCATTCTTAAATAAAATAAGTTTGGAACCACCAAGACCCATCCTAGAGCTGGCAGCTCGGCCAAACTGAACAATCAGGGGAGAATGGCCTTGGTCAGGGAGGTGACCAAGAACCCGATGGTCACTCTGACAGAGCTCCAGAGTTCCTCTGTGGAGATGGGAGAACCTTCCAGAAGGACAACCATCTCTGCAGCACTCCACCAATCAGACCTTTATGGTAGTGTGGCCAGACAGAAGCCACTCCTCAGTAAAAAGCAAATGACAACCCGCTTGGTCTGATGAAACCAAGACTGAAACTCTTTGGCCTGAATGGCAAGTGTCACGTCTGGAGGAAACCTTCCACCATCCCTACGGTGAAGCATGGTGGTGACAGCATCTTACTGTGGGGATGTTTTTCAGCAGCAGGGACTGGGAGACTAGTCAGGATCGAGGGAAAGATGAACGGAGCAAAGTACAGAGAGATCCTTGATGAAAACCTGCTCCAGAACGCTCAGGACCTCAGACTGGGGCGAAGGTTCACCTTCCAACAGGACAACGACCCTAAGCACACAGCCAAGACAACACAGGAGTGGCTTCGGGACAAGTCTCTGAATGTCCTTGAGTGGCCCAGCCAGAGCCCGGACTTGAACCCGATCTAACATCTCTGGAGAGACCTCCTGAAAATAGCTGTGCAGCGACGCTCCCCATCCAACCTGACAGAGCTTGAGAGGATCTGCAGAGAACAATGGGAGAAACTCCCCAAATACAGGTGTGCCAAGCTTGTAGCGTCATACCCAAGAAGACTCGAGGCTGTAATCGCTGCCAAAGGTGCTTCAACAAAGTACTGAGTGAAGGGTCTGAATACTTATGTAAAATATTTGTAATACATTTGCAAACATTTCTAAAAACCTGTTTTTGCTTTGTCATTATGGGATATTGTGTGTAGATTGATGAGGGAAAAAACTATTTAATCAATTTTAGTAACAAAATGTGGAAAAATTCAAGGGGTCTGAATACTTTCCGAATGCACTGTATTAACATTAAGTTAATGGCACCCCTTTACAACTGGAGTAGGTTGTAGTTAGTATGGTTTTGATGCGCCTGCAGAACGGAGCAGAGCCGAGCGTGCCATTTGCAGTGAATAGGCCGACATCAATAGCCTAGGCCTAGCACTGGAAAGTTTTTGTAGGACACTAGCCTACATTTACTGATAGATTAATCAATTAGCCTACATGGCTATCTAGCAACAATATCAAATTTAGAGTTAGCAATCTAGCTAAGTGTTTTGAGTTCCCACTTCCTCAGGTGGTGAATACCTAATATACACTGAGTGTACAAATATTGAGTTGCACCCCCCCCACCTTTTGCCCTCTGAACAGCCTCAATTTGTCGGGGCATGGACTCTACAAGTTGTCGAAAGCGTTCCACAGGGATGCTGGCCCATGTTGACACCAATGCTTCCCACATTTGTGTCAAGTTGGCTGGATGTCCTTTGGGTGGTGGACCATTCTTGATACACAGGAAACTGTTGAGCGTGAAAAACCCAGCAGCGTTGCAGTTCTTGACACAAACCGGTGCATCTGGCACCATACCCCGTTCAAAGGCACTTCAATATTTTGTCTTGCCCATTCACCCTCTGAATGGCACACATACACAATTCATGTCTCAATTGTCTCAAGGCTTAAAAATCCTTCTTTAACCTTTCTCCTCCACTTCATCTACACTAATTGAAGTGGATTTAAAAAGTGACATCAATAAGGGATCATAGCCTTCACTTGGATTCACCTGGTCAGTCTATCTCATGGAAAGAGCAGGTGTTCATTATGTTTTGTACACTCAGTTTAATTATAGAGCCCTGGTGCTAACGTCAAGTAACTGTCCATTAAAACATTATTTTTAATCATTGTATTTGTTGTTATCGAGCAAAATAGTTACATTTATTGTAATATGACTTTGTGTCCATATCTCCCAAAAATAATTGGGTTAACGCAAAAAAGTATCAATTTATTGCGATATGGATTTTCTTCATCATCAACTGTCACCATGGAGCATTGTCATCATCAACTTCGATATACAGCCAAGATGGTGTGTGCGCGTGGGCAGAGTAAAGCAGAGCGTGGGGTCCTACCTCAGGTTTGGGGCTGAAGGCCCGTCCAGGGATGGTGAAGCAGCTCTTTACAGTACAGAGGTACTGGGCCATGATGGACAGACGACTCCTCTGTCTGCTGGTTGTGCTGGCTGTCAACCTCTGGAGAGGGGAACCCAACATATTTGGTCTGTATAATATATAGCCCTGATAAGTAGATCAAGGCTTAATAATACAAACGGAAAAGCAGTTCCTGATTCAGGAAAAAACGACTGAGTGAGAATAAACAGTACTGAACAGCACACATACTTCTGCCACCTCTTTCTGGAAGGTAAGGGTGAGTCTGGTCCGGCCGTAAACAAAGGGTCCAGTTCTGTTGGATATGTTCTCCAGCCACTTGATGATGAGAGGTGTGGACACACTGAAGGGAAGGTTCCCTATGATATGCAGGTCTGGTGGATCTGAGGAGGGACAGTTGAAGTAGATCACACTGTTGCGTGTTGCAAAACTTTGCACAAAATCAATGTAGTTTGTTCCAGACATAAAGTAATCTAGTAGGTACTTCCATCAATCAGGCAAGTGACAAATCTACCTCAATACTAAGTCAACTTTTTCCTCTCACTCACCATCCTCCCATGCCTTGGTTATGACTTCTGGGAATCCTCTGTCCATTCTGTATGAGAGTATGTCACCATGGACAACCCTGAGCTTCCCTGGTGCTGCTTCAGACAAGAGCTGTGGAAACGGACATAGCATCTTACAGGTACTTGAGAATTTAAACTACTTTACTGTTTCCAATTTGGGCAATTCTTTGAAAGACAACCCCTTCCTGCATGTTCTCCTATTAGGTACCTTTAGTCCAGGTATAAAGCGATTGTCCTTCTCCACCACCAGCAGGTCTGCAGCCCCAGCGTTGAGGATGGAGCGGGTCAGCCCTCCAGGTCCAGGACCCACCTCACACACATGGGTGTCCCTCAGACTGCCTGCCTGGCGCACAATCTTATCTACACAGTTCAGAAAACACAGTGACCAGGGTGTACTACTTACTCACATTGGAATGGGTTGGATATAGGAAAACACAGTGACCAGGGTGTACTACTTACTCACATTGGAATGGGTTGGATATAGGAAAACACAGTGACCAGGGTGTACTACTTACTCACATTGGAATGGGTTGGATATAGGAAAACACAGTGACCAGGGTGTACTACTTACTCACATTGGAATGGGTTGGATATAGGAAAACACAGTGACCAGGGTGTACTACTTACTCACATTGGAATGGGTTGGATATAGTAAAACACAGTGACCAGGGTGTACTACTTACTCACATTGGAATGGGTTGGATATAGTAAAACACAGTGACCAGGGTGTACTACTTACTCACATTGGAATGGGTTGGATATAGGAAAACACAGTGACCAGGGTGTACTACTTACTCACATTGGAATGGGTTGGATATAGTAAAACACAGTGACCATGGTGTACTACTTACTCACATTGGAATGGGTTGGATATAGTAAAGTGAACAATGTACATGTAACTGCCAAAATACAGGAAACACTTGAGTAAATTAGGGATACAAACTATATTGAAAGCAGGTGCTTCCACACGGGTGTGGTTACTGAGTATATTAAGCAATTAACATCCCATCATGCTTAGGGTCATATTTAAAAATGTCCAGTTGCCCATTCTTTTGGCTACCATGGCTAAAAGAAGAGATCTCAGTGACTTTGAAAGAGGGGTCTCAAAGGAGCATGGTGGGTTTAAAGTGTGTGTGTGTGTGTTTGTGTGTGCGTGTGTGTGTCAGTCACCAGATCTCAACCCAATTGAACACTTGTGGGAGATTCTGGAGCGGCACCTGAGACAGCGTTTTCCACCACCATCAACAAAACACCAAATTATGGAATTTTTCGTGTCACATCCCTGCAATAGAGTTCCAAGACACGTGTAGAATCTATGCCAAAGCGCATTTAGGGTCCTATAAAAGGAGAACGTGGACGGAATCACGGAATCCAGACATCAAAACGGAATTCAACAATATAAATAAATGTATTGACCTTAGTAGGAAATCAACTTAATGCATTGAACTTCAGAAAATTCATAAATTTTTCCAAGTTAATAATAAGACATGAATAAAATGCATCAGATTTGTATTTTCCTGCAACTTTCTGAAACGACAGAGGAATGCCCGTCTGTGTGCAGTGCGCGCATATCTCTACACTTTGTGTAGCCATTAGCAATGATGCTAATGATAACCTTCTTCTGGTAGAGATGGAAAGGCTTTCCCAAAAAAACATCTAAATGAAATGTGAACTACTATAATCCACTGGCCATTTGTTTTGCAAACTCTGCAATCACGAGCGCTACAGAAACATCGCTAACCAAACAACCCGCTCTTGCTGGTGCGCACCTGCATTAAAGGGTAACTAGGCCTACACCCAAAAATCAACATTTCTTAGACTTTTCCCAGACCTCAAAAGTGGTCTCCTGATGTGGTTTAATCATTGTTGTGGACTTAAAACATAACATTTTGTTATTTTTCTATTTTTTAAAAGTCTGATTTTGAAAACGATAACCTGAAAGAACTTGGAAAACTGAAACCTGGAAAAACAACATAAAAGAGAAAACGGATTAAAATAAATTAAACAGAATCAGGGCAAAAAATACAATCGATTTAATTATAATTAGGCCCTAAGCTGTTCTGGTGGCCCAACTCCCTATTAAATCACTTTATGTTGGCGTTTCCTTTATTTTGGCAGTTACCTGTATCAATGCACTATCTAGTTGATGTTACATGCATCTTTTATTATGACATTTTGACATTCAAGAATAGTGTCTTCCATATGTATATGACTTGCATGCTAAATAAAGGTTGGCAGTGGCATTGTATTTTAGCATACGCCTGGCTCCTATCTCTCCTTGGCAAAGCTGGCTATGCTTCTTTAATGCTTTTATCTAAAAACAGAAACCTTGTTCAAGGGCATCAGATCAGATCTGCAGCACTGCATCACTGATATAATCACATCAGTAGTGTCTGCTGCTAGTGGACAAGCCTATGTGGGCACTTCAGTCCAGTACACTGAATGTGTTGTGAACAGGGGGAAGAAAAAACCCCATTGTGTCCTCATTGTGTAGAAGACAAAGTGTACCAGGTGTTGGTGCATTGCAGCTAAAGGAAGAGGAGGCTGACTCACCTGTGAGCCTCATGTCCAGTAGAAAGTTCTGGGACAGCTGTTTCTCTGCTCGCAGGTTGTACAGTTTGATTACCTCCCCAATGGTGGGCAGGGGAGGCAGGCGAAATGCCGCTATCTTTGTGGGAGCCGCCATCCCTCAAACCGTTCTGCTGTGCAAATATAAAGGGGGGTACTGTAGTAGGAATATGATGATTAATGCACCTCTTCAATAGGGGAGTAATTACACTGAGAGGGTAAATGTCAGAGTAATTAGTGATAGTTTAGAGATCTGGGGATTATCTGCTAATCTCCCATAATGAAGATAAACATGCTAATGCATCCAGGTTCCATTTTAGAGCTCAAAGATCATAGAATTAGGAATTCGAATAAGATACTATATTAAAAGCACAACTGCTATTGTCAAAGAATGCTCAATGGTAGCGAGAGAAAATACAGGGTGTAACATCTGAGGATTAAAAACATGACCTTGATCGCCGCCCAGTGGATAAATTACCAACCTACATGGTGTTATGAAATTCATATTGGGCAGTTATGGATGTGTCCTGCCAAAGACAGTGGAATGACTCTGGTGGTTCTGCCCCATAATGTCAAACCTATTACAACAGTCATATGCTAAAACATTCAAGTCAACCCAGTGTCATCAATTTAGCTTTCATTTTGAATAAGTGAATCAGAGCATAGGACCTAACGTTACAACAGACATTCTTCCAACTAGCTGAGGAACGCTCAGCTCCATTCTCTTATATCGAGGCAGAGTTGAGTATTGATACCTGGTCGAGCGATTTGCTAGCAACAACATTGAGTCACCATCAGTCGATACTGGTAAAAATGTCAATTCTGAAAATGCTTGTTTGTTCTGTATAACTGTGGTCCTTACGCGGGGTGCTGAAATTCATACTTTTGATACAACCACCGACTTTTTATTTTAAAAAGTATGAATTTCAGCACCCCGCGGAAGAACCGCAGTTGTACAGGACAAACCTAAGTAGGCTACAGGTAAGGGACTGTACTATATTTATAATGAGAGATACCTGGAGGAAATCTGACCTCTCTGAAATAAAAATGGATGGCCCTCCCTTTAGTAAAATATAATTCTACCTGACCCTCCCTGAACGCTTGAAAAACCAAAACAACTGACACCCCATACCCCAAATAATAATTAAAACATCAAATGGATAGCAGAGAACATGCCTACCCTTTACCCTTTACGCAGACCAGAGCCTTCGATATGCAGTTTTGTAAGCATTACATGGCAAAGTAGCCAGAAGATTGTGGATTCGCAGACCACTGCAGACAAGGGTGAAAATATCCCTATTATAATAAAAATACTGCATTAATCTATCATCTTATTTGCAGTCCGAAAAATTTGCATTTTATAAACGCATTTCATGAAATTCTGTCATTTTATATGACTGTACACAAGCAGAATCCTTTTAGGTTCCACAACAGAGCCTGAAAACAAATGAGCGCAGGCTGCAGCACCAGAGACGTTTTGATTTCTATACAGGCTATTGTTAAAAAAGAGGATAGTCTTAAGTTTGGAACAGTTCTTAAGTTGGCTATCAACTGTAGAAATTGAGTGCAACAGAAGTATCTGATCATCAATGAATTCAAGAAAAAGCCATTTGTTTTTTAACACAGCAGCCGCATAACATAAAGTAGGTCTACACAGAGTGTACAAAACATTAAGAACACCTGCTTTTTCCATGACAGACTGACCAGGTGAAAGCTATGATCCCTTATTGATGTCGCTTGTTAAATCCACTTCAATCAGTGTAGATGAAGGGGAGGAGACAGGTTAAAGAAGGATTTTTAAGCCTTGAGACAATTGAGACATGGATTGTGTATGTGTGCCATTCAGAGGGTGAATTGGCAAGACACAAAATGTAAGTGCCTTTGAACGGGGTATGGTAGTAGGTGCCAGGCGCACCAGTTTGTGTCAAGAACTGCAACGCTGCTGGGTTTTTCACACTCAACAGTTTCCCGTGTGTATCAAGAATGGTCTACCACCCAAAGAAAATCCAGCCAACTTGACAACTGTGGGAAGCAACATGGGCCAGCATCACTGTGGAATGTTTTCGACACCTTATAGAGTTGAGGCTGTTCTGAAGGCAAAAGGGGGAGGGGAGGGGGGGGTGCGCAACTCAATATTAGGAAGGTGTTTCTAACGTTTGGTATACTCAGTGTCTATGCACTTGTAACTTTTTCTTTATTTGGGAAACTATAATTTTCTAATTTATTCCATGATATTGTTGTTACAAAATAGATTTGTGTTGACTGTGATTAAGGCATGGGAATATAAAAGCATCTGCTGGGTTAAATTAACAAACTAGGCATGCATAGCTCAGGGATGATCCTCAAACCAAAGACAGGCCAAACTCGTGTTTCTAAAAGTGAATTCAATGGCACTGTAGAATGACTGTATGCCTAATAAGGCAATTGTTGTTAAATTAAATGTCATTTTATACAGCCTAAATGCGAAATGTATAGGCATGTTGAAGTGCTGTTGTTGATGTGTTGTTGAAATGCTGAGCGCTCCTGCCAGCCTATAGCTGTCACAAACGCTTCACAGTTGATTTCTTAAATGGCAGGCTATAGCCTTGAAATAATATAACCTAAATAATTTATTTGTGCTCCTTCTTAGGCTACCAGATTTGCTCCCGACTGATTTAGAGTCAGTATGTTGTTTAATAGCATGTTGAAACATTGAACGTCAATTGAGAGTGACAAAATATATCCCATATGCATCTGAGTCACATCTATCCCCGGCATTTTACAGCTTGTTTCTAGCATAAAGCATTGCGGACTAAAGCGTCGCTATAGATCGCCTTACAGTGCATTCGGAAAGTATTCAGACCTCTTGAGTTTTTCCACATTTTGTTACGTTACAGCCTTATTCAAACATTTATAAAATAACATCCTCACTTATCTACACACAATACCCCATAATGACAAAGGAAAAACAGGTTTTTAGAAATTCTTGCAAATGTATTAAAAATAAAAAACAGAAATACCTTATTTACATAAGTATTTAGAACCTTTGCTGAGACTTGAAATTGAGCTCAGGTGCATCCTGTTTCCATTGATCATCCTTGAGATGTTTCTACAACTGGATTGGAGTCCACCTGTGGTAAATGCAATTGATTGGACATGATTTGGAAAGGCACACATATGTCTATATAAGGTCCCACAGTTGACAGTGTAAGTCAGAGCAAGAAACAAGCAATGAGGTTGAAGGAATTGTCCGTAGAGCTCCGAGACAGGATTGTGTTGAGTCTGGGGAAGGGTACCAAAACATTTCTGCAGCATTGAAGGTCCCCAAGAACACAGTAGCCTCGATCATTCTTAAATGGAAGAAGTTTGGAACCACCAAGACTCTTTCTAGTGCTGGCCGCCCAGACAAACTGAGCAATCAGGGGAGAAGGGCCTTGGTCAAGGAGGTGACCAAGAACCTGATGGTCACTCTGAATGAGCTCCAAAGTTCCTCTGTGGAGATTGGAGAAACTTCCAGAAGGACAACTATCTCTGCAGCACTCCACCAATCAGGCCTTTATGGTAGAGTGGCCAGACGGAAGCCATTCCTCAATAAAAGGCACATGACAGCTCGCTTGAAGTTTGCCAAAAGCCACCTAAAGGACTCAGACCATGAGAAACCAAATTATCTGGTCTGATGAAACCAAGAATGAACTTTTTGGCCTGAATACAAAGCGTCACGTCTGGAGGAAACCTGGCACCATCCGTACGGTGAAGCATGATGGTGGCAGCATCATGCTGTGGGGATGTTTTTCAGCGGCAGGGACTGGGAGACTAGTCAGGATCGAGGGAAAGATGAACGGAGCAAAGTACCGAGAGATCCTTGATGGAAACCTGCTCCAGAGTGCTCAGGACCTCAGACTGGGGCGAAGGCTCACCTTCCAACAGGACAAAGACCCTAAGCACACAGCCAAGACAAGGCAGGAGTGGTTTCGGGACAAGTCTCTGAATGTCCTTGAGTGGCCCAGCCAGAGCCCGGACTTGAACCTGATCGAACATCTCTGGAGAGACCTCCTGAAAATAGCTGTGCAGCAACGCTCCCCATCCAACCTGACAGAGCTTGAGAGGATCTGCAGAGAAGAATGGGAGAAACTCCCCACATACACGTGTGCCAAGCTTGTAGCGTCATACCCAAGAAGGCTCAAGGCTGTAATCGCTGCCAAAGGTGCTTCAACAAAGTACTGAGTAAAGAGTCTGAATACTTATGTAAATATTATATCATTTTTATTTTATTTAAATTTTTCTTCTAAAAACGAGGTTTTGCTTTCTCATTATGGGGTATTGTGTGTAGATTGATGAGGAAAAGCAACAATTTTATTAATTTTAGAATAAGGTAACAAAATGTGGAAAAAGTCAAGGGGTCTGAATACTTTCTGAATACACTGTATATAATCAGGTCTATGCTTTTAGCCATTTACCCTCACATACCCCTCAATTTGAGCCCTGGTTTTAACTTAACTACAGGATCGGTGTCCCTATACCGGGAAGGTTGCTGCTCAATATGCGATATGTGACTAGAATGGCGTTGTAAACAACAGCCAACTTTCCCGGGACATAGACATGTCTTATAAGGGCAGAAAGCGTAAATTCTTGTTAATCTAACTGCAGTGTCCAATTTACAATAGTTATTACAGCAAAAAAATACCATGCTATTGTTTGAGGAAAGTGCACAACAAAACAAAACACTTTTGTCACGGCAACTGGTTTTATACATTCACCTCTGAAGGTAAATAATGATTACATTCAGTAATCTTGCTCTGATTTGTCATCCTGAGGGTCCCAGAGATAAAATGTAGCATAGTTTTGTTTGATAAAATCCATTTTTATATATAAATGTCTCCCCCCGGGCCATCTAGACGTGTGAAAGTTAGTGTATTTTCTGTAGGGAAGCTAACGATCCATCATGTATGACATTCCTGGGAGTGTGTAAACTTAAATGTTTTATTACCATAGCATTTTTGTGTGTTCTCTATAATTCTGTACTTTAAAAATGTATAAATTGACCAATTCGGAACATTTGGGAAAACTCCTGGCTGACTTGATACAAAATATTGTGTAGTGATGTAATCCTTCACTGGATCAGTCTGAAACTTTGTACAC